TTGTCGCCTTGCCAGATAAAATTAGCTTTGCATAACTGAGTAGAAAGATAAGTCAAAAGTTTCATTTGGAGACCACCCACCAACCCCACCACTCAATAAAATGGAATGTTAATATTTACAAGCATTTGCATTAAAGAAAATCCTGGAGGTCTCAGAACAATATTTATTGCAATATTCTTAGGTCATCAAATTAGAAATTTAAATACCTCTATTTTGTTCGGTCATTTCATCTTGTCACAAGAAAGGAATATTTCATAATTCTTCTTCAGATTATATTCTAATTGTTAACATTATTCAAATTAACTATCAAGTTACTATCAGTTCGTTCGTACTAGTAAAATGATCATGGAAAGCGAAAATGTAGCCCAAACTAAAGTACGAAAAGAGGGAAGCGATAGACATAAATGTGGTGTGTTAAAGATACAAAAACTGTCCCGTTTGCTTTAGATAAAAGACCTTTAATGGGACGATGAACTTTGTAAAGCAAAAAGAAGGGTAAGTGAAGATTTTTTCCAGAAGAGAGAGAGAGAGAGAGAGAGAGAGAGAGAGAGAGAGAGAGAGAGAGAGAGAGAGAGAGAGAGAGAGAGAGAGTAATAAGGTCATTATGTATAAATGCCCCATCAATTCATTAAATATGTTTATCGCAACTTGCACTCTTGTGGAACAACAGTTTGAAAAGGCAAAAGATGAGTCAAAGTTGGCGAATTATTTTAGACGACCGGGATTCCAAACTGATATCACATTAGCAGGTGATTTGTAAAATCAGGCATTACAATGGTAGATGATTCATTCATGTGATATTACAATGGCAGAGGATTCATTCAATGTGATATTACAACGGCAGAGGATTCATTCATGTGATATTACAATGGCAGAGGATTCATTCAATGTGATATTACAACGGCAGAGGATTCATTCATGTGATATTACAACGGCAGAGGATTCATTCATGTGATATTACAACGGCAGAGGATTCATTCATGTGATATTACAATGGCAGAGGATTCATTCAATGTGATATTACAATGGCAGAGGATTCATTCAATGTGATATTACAACGGCAGGGGATTCATTCATGTGATATTACAACGGCAGAGAATTCATTCAATGTGATATTACAATGGCAGGGGATTCATTCATGTGATATTACAACGGCAGGGGATTCATTCATGTGATATTACAACGACAGAGGATTCATTCATGTGATATTACAATGGCAGAGGATTCATTCAATGTGATATTACAATGGTAGAGGATTCATTCATGTGATATTACAATGGCAGAGGATTCATGCAATCTAGTATCACAATGGCAGCGTATTCATACAATTTGTTATCACACTGACATATAATTCACAAAGGCAGAGACTTCATACAATTCGATATCATATTAGCATAGGATTCATACAATCTGATATCACAGTGGTAGAAACTGCATACAATTCGATCTTACACTGACGTGATTCTTAAGGACAACGTACTAACATTTGTATGGCAACCATACTTTGACAAAGTATCCAATCCATGCTATGAAATTTGAGATTTGAGTCAATATAGTAAAGTAAAAGGTATACAATGTATAGCTATGATTTTCGTTCATTTCGAAGTGCGACATTTAAAGAAATAGGAGTGACCTGCAAACATCTTTACAAATGAAACTAGCAAGATATTGTCACCCTACTTTAAAACACAATATTTCTAAATTAATTTTATTTTCATAAATTCTTAACATGATTAATTTTGTTGGAACCAATTAGTAGAATGAGTGCCGAAACATAACCATCTGCCATAGAAATTAATAGTTAATGCGCGTGCCAACACAAACTTTCTGCTCATGAAACTGATGCATAATTTGTAGATGTGTTTGTCGCTTTAAAGACATATCATGTTCTATTCTTATTCAGTATCAAGTCATATTCACGAAAAGCAAGTTTTAATAAGTCTTCCTTACCATTGATGGAGGCAGCCCATAAAACGACAAGAAGCCAAATCGGCGATGAGACGTGGCTAAACATGCTCGGGTTTTGGCAGCAGAAACCTTGAGGACGTGACTAGCAGGCTATGATTAATGCTGTCTGAAAAACCTCCCAACGTATGTCGTTTAAAAAAGTATGATATAGTTGTATATTTAAGTCAAGTGGAAGTGTTTCTGTGACCAAAGAAAACGTCTGCGAATTTTGATCAATTTTTTTGAATCCTCTTAAAGGATTTGCATTGTTTTCGCTCACCTGAACGGCTACAGCTGGTTGAAAGTTAGTTTTTTTGTCGTCGAGCAATGAGGTTTTCGATTCATACATTCGCTACTTTACTTGTTTGTTCTGTTTTCCTTTTGCTCAATTGTGTTTTTATTTATGATTTTGTTTTGGGTCTTTTGTCTATCTTTTCATTACACTTCTAAGAAATACAAATGAATTCCACTTTTAAGAAAATTATTCTCAAGAGCATATATATATATATATATATATATATATATATATATATATATATATATATATATATATATATATATATATATATATATATATATATATACATATACATATATATATATATATATATATATATATATATATATATATATATATATATATATATATATATATATAGAGAGAGAGAGAGAGAGAGAGAGAGAGAGAGAGAGAGAGAGAGAGAGAGAGAGAGAGAGAGAGAGAGAGAGAGAGAGAGAGAGAGAGAACTGGCACTTTTTTCACCAGCACTTTACAAAGTAATCCTTCTTTACTTTACTCCAGAGAAAAAGTAGAAATAAAAACTTAGACAATAAAGAAGTCAAAGTATAAGTCGAAAATACGAGTATGAGCAAATTAGATAGTTACGTGATCCCAGTTTTGCTAAAGATTTGAACTTTAAATTATGTTGTACAGTAATCACATGGAATTTGTAATTCATATCTCTAAAATGTCTTGCTTTGATTCCCTCAAATTTGTGTTGAGTCTTGTTATTTGGAAGGTTTCAGATGCTGGTACAGTTGAATGTTCGCGACGATAAGAATCAAGTGGGATTTTGACGTACTGATAATATTTGTTTACGGAATAACGATTTCACAAAACCTCTGAACGTGTAGATAACACCATCTCTTGAAGAATTCCAGTAATCTGAACACAATCTTATTACCATAATAACATCTTTAAGATTACCAACTGACTTTATTTTAATTTTCTCATAAATGTACATAAACAAACGTGCTCCTGAGATTTCTCATATCTTTCAAAACGTGTGATACAATACCAGTAATCTTGCATTTCGGTTTCCATAGGAATGTTCCAGATTCCATTATGTTTTGGTATCTTTTACTTCATTTCAAGATTGCGAAAGAAATATTATATTTCTCAATATGTCACCTCTAATATTGGCCATTTCTCAAATCACCGGAGAAAATCTTATGGAAATTCCATGGAAGGTACTTTGAGAAAATCTTATGGAAATTCCATGGAAGGCACCTTGAGAAAATCTTATGGAAATTCCATGGAAGGTACTTTGAAAAAATCTTTTGAAGAGATGAGGCTTTAGATTAATTTATCTTGACTTAATTTGTGAAGCTGCACATGAAATTTAATTTTCTCATATTTGGTAGATTCGCAGATTTTGCTCGTTTATGAGATAACAGAATTTTTATGAACAGTATTTTAAAAAGTTTTAAATTAGTTTCAAACTTAAGTCAGATTTTCATGTTCAGTGCGTTTTCAATAATACGGGACATTCTCTGATATGTTTTTCTACATAAAGCAAGATCTCATTTGTTTCAAATGACCAATGTGCTGCTGATGATTCAGACCAGAGTATGTGTACGTGACGATAGTATCAGATCCAGACCAGAGTATGTGTACATGACGATAGTATCGGATCCAGACCAGAGTATGTGTACATGAGATAGTATCGGATCCAGACCAGAGTATGTGTACATGAAGATAGTATCGGATCCAGACCAGAGTATATGTACATGACGATAGTACCAGATCTAGACCAGAGTATGTGTACATGACGATAGTATCGGCTCCAGACTAGAGAATGCTTACTTGACGGCTTTTGAAATTTGTTACAAAGGCATAACGAATACCTTACTATTCGGTAAGTCCAGTATACTAATGTTATCTCGAGCTCATTTCATAAAGTATTTTTATATCCATACATCCTTAATGACTTAAAACAGTTAAATAGTGTAAGATAAAAATGGGATAGACGAAAAGCATTCATGTCAATGAGTGAGGTACAGCGTGGAGCATGTTATTACCAATTTTTCAGCAAAATGAATGACTACGAGGGCGGTCAGATTCTTCATTAACTTATGCCACCATGCTTATGACTGCCTCATTGAACCTATTTTGACGCCTGCAAAACCCAGAAAGGAAGCATGGATTATCAATAAGTGTTATTTCATACTCATATTAAATAATCCATAAGAATAACAGTCGTTACGGTTGCGATGAATATGAAATGTTACGTGTAACTTTCTTTGCACAATCAAGATTTAAATATTTAATGGGAAAGTCTTAAGACTGTCGCTATATGAAATAAACATGCTTTCCTCTGGCGAAAAGGAGAAGTGTTAGTACAAACCGATTTTTCATTTCTATTATTATTTTCTCCCAACTTGTAGGGTTTTCTTAATGTTGAAACATTTAGCCCACCATAGAGATGAAAATACATTTTTAGTTGATCATTCTAAACTCCCAGTAAAGTCCCAAGAGATGGAATTTCATTCCCGCCAGTTGTTGTTAGTTTATCAAAGAAGAGCGATGGCTGTGCTATGAAATTATACCGATTATGTACGATGTTTGTGATTTAGATTTTTAACGTAGCTTTTAGCAATTTTTCAGTCATATTGCTACGATGTCTGCAGTATGGTAGTTAAAAGTAATGTCTAGCATTGGGGCATCATGCCGCAGACATGTAGCGTTATATCTCAACCAGTCCCATTATGCTGCCACCAGGCTGAGCAACTAGCGAGGCAGCTGTTAGAACTATTTTTAGAAGTCTTTGGTATGACTCGATCGGGGTTTGAACCCACGACCTCTAGCATCCGGGGCGGACGCTCTAACCACAAGGCCACCGTAGCGGTCTACTATACCGATTATAAGAATACTTCTAAGATTAAATATCTATGTAGTATTTCGGCATGCCTTCGCTTCCTCTGCAATATACTCCACATATCTGCATATATGTCTCAAATAAAAGCTTATGAATACAATAATATTTGTTGGCATAATGTTAGTTTTAAATCACCATTCCTTGTAGTCACCATGTATCGAATGCATTTAAGCATGCACAGATTATCGAAAAATTTTCAAAACTATCATTCAGCTCGAAATGCAGAAATGCAACGTCGATATTTATGTTGACAGGTTCATTTAGGAAATGCTAACTGCGAGGGCAATTTTGGGGTGATTTATTAAAACAAAGTGGGCAACTGCAATAGTCATGATTTATGGAAGTAAATGTAAATGGATGCCAACTGTCAGCACATGCTTCGAACTCATGTCTTTGACAGACAGGATCTGTTCGTGGCATTTCAGGTCATCATAAATAATCTTCCTTGAAAAATGTAAATAATTTAATTGTATATGGTTTGAGGAAATACACTTATGTTCACTCTCTGAAATGCTTTCGCACTGAATCAATGCCTGTGTTTATCAACATATTGGCAAAGTTAATTGCCATCATTTTACAAAGCACTGTTGAGAGGGAAAAAAAGAGCAGACAAGAAATGGAAAATTATAATTTCAGTTGGTTTTTTCCTTTCCTAATTTTACAGCTTTAAATTTAAGTTTTCAGTTGCAATTTACATAAGATAAGGTTAAAAAAATAATAATAAACAGAATAATATAAGAGAATTAGCAAGACAGAGTTCATGGTCTTGTTGTCGGAAATTGAAAACCACTGACGACTTGGTGCACATTAATGGAACCGATGTGTTAGCGACTCAGAACGGGTGATTGATTAACAGGCAGTGAAAGTCGAGTAACTGTTTGCCATTGTATATCGGTCAGCACAGTAATGTATTGCCTTGACCGTTGCCAATAGTATAGTAACTTCGCTTATAGGCGCCTCGTGAGCTCACCGTTTATGCTCGAAGAATTTGCTTCCCAAAATCGTTAGTGTGACCATACGGTAAAACCATTTAAGCCAGCCTCAAGGTTAACAGATTCGAAGAAGACTGAGGTCGACAGTCTGAATGTTGGTTAATCCGAGGGTTCATTATTATATATTTTGGTTCCGGAACGTAAGAAAAATGCTGTGTTGTTCAAATAGATTTGCCATTTTTAGACGGTTTAATTTTTTTCCCAAAGCAATATAGTACTGCATCTCAAAATTCAACTAAGAGAAATTGATCGACTTTAGATAAAGTGCACCACAGGTCAAGCATCAAACAGCAAAAAAAAAAAAGTTATATTTTGCATATTCCTTACGGCAGTTTTAATGAAATATGGCATTTTTAGGAAACAGTAGCTCAAAATGTACAAAACATAATCCTGTGATAATTTTTCACTTAAGTTTTAGAATGTTGCATAATTTGAATTCCTTTATCTTTTTGAAATGTCTTCATCAAATAAAAGAAATTATTTTAAAAGGACTTATGCTTTATATGTTTTGGGGTGTTTTTGCCTCGTGGAGATGGGCCTCACTACCTTCTAAACATTCAAGCTCCGTTAGGACTGATGATCCGTTCGAAACAATGAACCTTGAATACAGAGAACCTTTTTCGTAACATAGAACCTTACTACCAATGAACCTTCTAAAGACTGTACCTTTCTTTCGTACCATAGAACCTTATTACTAACAAACCTCCAAAAAGTGAACCTTTCTTTCGTACCATAAAACCTTAGTACAAACGAACCTTCAGACTATCGAAATGGAACCAACAAATAATAATCTAGCTTTCCGTAGAAAAAGTATATCTTGCATAAGAAATAAAAGAACTTTATATTTTATGACATTGGACTGAAACCATGAATATCTATTTTAATCCAAAGTCCTATGTCAACCTTGAGAAAATTGGAAGGGTTAATATGGCAAAGGATATTATCTTATAAATTTCAGGTTTTAGTTCATGTTTATAGCAATCTATGTTACTGCCTTTTATAAAATTGATTGATTGATTGATTGTTTGATTATCTCACCCAAAAAACAAGTGCCATTAAATTATCATCAGAGCAATAGTGCAGAAACTGTAAAATTCTATTCAAAGCTGGATCGATAATATGCATCAACGGTACATTGATCAAAGTAGTAAAGGGGTGCACTTTAGGACCAATTTGACCTAAGTTACATTTGATCGTTTGAACTATGGGGTCAAACGGGAAATTAACATGGAGCAGATTGGGCCAGTCTAGGGTCAATGGGAAATTGAACAGAGGAAATGTAGAGCGAGAAGGTATTGTACCTGTCTAGGGTCAATAGGTATTGGAGATGTGTGACATCATGGTACTTGACACGGGCAACAATGTTACAAGTGGCTGACCTCAATCGGGCGGAACATATACATGGTGATCCAATTTTGTTTTGTTTCATAATGAATATAGTTCTGTTCTTGGTTGTATTTATGGCAGACATTCAATATATGATGTAAATCTTCTGGTGTTTGACAGCGGTAGCAGTGGATGACTGATGGTTTCGGTCCAATGTAATTTCAAAGCTATTTGCAAACTTTAATTTTTTTGACTTTTTGGCGATGATCCTGTTTATTAGTTTTTGTTCTGTAGGTTTTACTTTTGGTGGTTTGATGTTTCTATCAATTTCTCTTAAAACGGCATATAGTATCCGTCCTTTGTTGCTTTGATTCCATTGTTCTTGCCATTTGCGATTGAAATGAGTTCTAATAATACTATATAATTACTTTACACTGTAATTAATAACGGTGGGGATAGGGTCTTTTACTCCTAGTTTTGCTGTCATATCGGCTATTTCGTTTCCTAGTAGCCCTAGTTCTGGCATTACTGTAGCCGCTACTGTCCTGGGTGATTTTAAAGTTTTGGACAATCGAACAGACAGACTGACTGACAATTATCAAAGTCGCCTACGCTTAGAGCTTTTGCGACTAATTATGCTCACTGACTGAGCTTTTTTAATTGGTCGGTATTATTGGAATGAAACACAAAAACATTGCATTTATGCACGATATCTGTACTTTTCAATTGCCTGTCAGGAAGATGTCAAATTCCGTCCAGTTGTTCTAGTGGACGTTCCCTATCCTCAGTATTGTGTAAGTCACCTGTGCAATTGACCTAAGTTCTTAGCTGAAGATTGCCTAATGTTATTTTTATGTAGTTGAAATTTTGTGTACTAAGCGCACTTCCATTGTCAAAATTATACCAATCCGCTGGGTGTCAGCAACCCTGTTATTCTGAGGTCACATATCGTTAGTCTTAGTTGTTGTTATTGATGGCGGAGAGTCCAAAGGATCAAGGTGGTTAAATGTAGTGGTGTAGTCAAATGAGGCCTTCGATTGCCAATAGAAGTGACTCTCGTATAGATATGGTAGTGGAGAAAAAAAGAGAATGGAGGGTGAGAGAAGCGGTTTCTTCAAGGAAAATTGTCAACAACACAGGCTTGCTGTTGCTAGGATTCCAACATGGTGTTTGCTAATATGTTGATCCTAGCACCTGTTTTAGTCCACTTCTGTTAGTAGCAATTGAGGGTGGCATAGAAAGGAGATGGAGATCGACTTATGTTGGAAAATCTTTGTATCACACAGGCATGTTGTACGCAGGATTCCATCCAAGTGTTGCTAGTTTGTCTTTCCTAGCACCTGTTTTTGGCCTTTTTGTTAGTTGGGGTGTTAGAAGTGGGTGGGTGGACGGTAGAGTTTGGATGAGGGCTTATTGTGGAAAGCCTTGCAGCACGGACTTGTTGCGTTCAGGATTTCACCCAGGTGTTTGCTAGTGTTTTCCCTAGCACCTGTTTTGGGACCTTTTGTTAGAGGAAAGGGGAGGGTGAAGAGAGGGTTGTACAAGAGGGTATGAGTAGGAGGGGAGAGTGAGTAAAGTTGCGTGCCTTGTGGCTTGGAGTTTACGGAAAAAACACCTTCATACGAGGTGAATTTGTCACACGTTGCCTTGCTTTGTTTGCTTGTCCTGTTGGCCAGTGATTGCCCAGATGTGTGCCAGTGTTTGCATGGAGAGTTGGCCAGTGCTTGCCCAGTTTTGTACCAGAATTTGAACGGGTAGGTGGAAATGAGCCAGCGCTTGCTCTTGTGTGGGCGAGTGTTTGCCCTAGGGGCTGGACACGGTTTGGGTTTTATATTTGTAATTCGATGGCTTGTGCTTGACAAGTGGAGGTACTGGTCCTTCTTGTCCATTCTTCCGGCGTTGGAAGGCTAGTGCTTGCCCTGGTGAGGTACTGGTCTTTCTTGTCCATTCTTTTGGCGTTGGAGGTCAAGTACTTGACCTATGGAGGTTATGGTCCTGCTTTGTTCTGCTTCCGGAAATCCTAATTCTTATTCGGCAATTGGAGGCGAAATTTCCAGTCCCTTTCCAAGTCTCCCTTGTTTGCACTACCCAGATGTTCGTTGCTTGTCCTGTGTCTTCCTAGTACAGATTTGATTATTTCAGTCACTCGTCAATTTAGAATTGATATTGTGCTCTTTATGTGTGTTAGTGATGGCATGCTTAGACGTTTGGTGGGTATATTTAAGAGTAAAAGCTTATATACACAAACACACACACACACACACACATATATATATATATATATATATATATATATATATATATATATGTGTGTGTGTGTGTATGCATGCATGCATGCATGCATACATACATACATACATACATACATACATACATCCATCCATCCATCCATCCATCCATCCATCCATCCATCCATCCATCCATACATACATACATACATACATACATACATACATACATACATACATACATACATACATACATACATACATATATACACATACATATACATACACATGTATACAGACATATATACATATTTTTCCTTAATTAGTATTTGTTAGCAGGTTATTTGTTGTTTTGTGTTTTGTGGTTGTGTTAATTAGAATGTGTGAGTTGGTGCTTTTATTGGTTTGTGTTTTTAGTTGTTTGGC